TCTCAGTATATTTACGTAAACATGTTGGTCCATGATCTCATCGATCAAACTTAAGGGGCCCACACCGCTATATGAGAAATTTGCCCATACAGTGATTTTAAGTCCATCTGCTTAACGGTCTTGAGATTTTGTTTTGGGTGGTACCCGGTGTTTGATGGTCGACGGACATACTATTTTGAACCTGTTCCACCAAAAAACACCAGCTAAGACTCATCTGTCCAAAGGATATATCGACCTTTTGAAAGTGGCTAGTTCAAGTGGCTTTTGGCAAACTTCAACTTGTCTTTGAGGTGTCTTTTACCAAGTAATTGCTCCTTTGGTGGACTTCTAGCATTCAAATTTTCATCGAACAGACTTCGGAGAATAGTGCCATCCCTGATTCCCAAGCTCACATCCGCTTTTATAGTCCTACAGGATGCAAAAGGATAAGTTTTGCTGAAGCGCACTTTGCGAAAGTCCTCTAAAATTGTGGTTTTCCGTATCGCATAACGTTTTTCGGGCTTCGGTTCATAGTTTATGGCATTGTAACTCATATTGGCTGTACATTTTAAGGGACTTTGAATATATTGATACGTTTTGCCCTCCTTTCTAAGCTCAATCAACTTTTCCTTTCTCCCGTGAAGCAATGAGGTCCTCTACCCATTAAAGTTAATTTTTTTCTATAGTTATAGTGTATTATGGTTCAATTTATAATAATGGTCTTCATTAAAAACCTATTTTTACCAAATTACAAAGATTTTCGGGACTTTTCCTGGAAGAAAATCAAAAACTGCTATTTTAGTGAACAGCCGAAATGTTGTGTCCGTGTGCAAAAATATGAAAGAAACCCAAAAACAGACCAAATCTAATGGGGTTTTTGCTTGTTTTGTATCTCTATGATCCATTCTACAAAAGAGATGTACTAGCGATTAACTAATGAAAAGGACTATGCTAATAAACCGTTATAAAGTTTCGCTTCTGTCGCACTGCTATTTTAATGAACACAGCTGTACATATATTTTTATAACTTTTTACCAACAAAAAGATTGCTTAGCTAAGATTAAGCAGCATTACCCAAAATAAGTGATAGGTAGCTTAGGTACATGCATGAAATTTATAAAACCTTATTAAATAATCTTCGAAGTCGATCTGAATTAAAATCTTTCACCAAACTATTAACTTACAACTCAATATTCAAAGGTTAACTAAAAACTAAAAGGCTATTTAATAGCAATAATAATAAAAATAATAAAGCAATTGCTTTTCAATATAAAAGTGTTTTAAAGTGGGTTGGTTCAAAACACAAATTATGCTTTTGGAGTACCAACAAAAAATCGGTAAATTAAATATTTACAATTTTTAAAATTAAAAAGAATTATAGGCAGCAACCCTAAAATTGTTTAGTATTTTTGTAGGTATATTTTGTATTTATGGTCCTACTAACTGGACCCATGCTTTAATTGTAGTTGAAAAAAACGAAGAAAACTGGAGTTTGACTGAAACTAACGACTCAATAAAGTTAAAGCCGACCTAAAAATGGGAGTTCCAGCATTCTTTCGCTGGTTGAGCCGGAAGTACCCGAGTGTTATCATCGAGTGCAACGAGAACAAGCAGGTTGATCCGGATACCGGGCGCAATATTTATGAGGACTCGACAAAGCCGAATCCGAATGGGATAGAGTTCGACAACCTCTACCTGGATATGAACGGCATCATTCATCCGTGTACGCATCCGGAGGACAAGCCGGCGCCGAAGAACGAGGACGAGATGATGGTGGCCATCTTCGACTGCATCGACCGCCTGTTCGGAATCGTCCGTCCACGAAAGCTGCTTTACATGGCCATAGACGGAGTGGCTCCGCGGGCCAAGATGAACCAGCAGCGGTCGCGTCGCTTCCGGGCGGCCAAGGAGACCACCGAGAAGCGGCTGGAGATCGAGCGGATCCGCGAGGAGCTACTGAGCCGCGGCTGCAAGCTGCCGCCTGAGAAGGAGAAGGGCGAGCACTTCGACTCCAACTGCATCACGCCGGGCACCCCGTTCATGGACCGGCTAAGCAAGTGCCTGCACTACTATGTCCACGATCGGCTGAATAACAACCCGGCCTGGAAGGGCATCAAGGTCATACTCTCGGACGCCAATGTGCCCGGCGAGGGTGAGCACAAGATCATGGACTATATCCGTAAGCAGCGCGCCCAGCCGGATCATGATCCCAACACGCAGCACGTCCTGTGCGGAGCCGATGCCGATCTCATCATGTTGGGTTTGGCAACCCACGAGCCCAACTTTACTATCATTCGGGAGGAGTTTCTGCCGAATAAGCCGCGTCCTTGCGACATCTGCAACGGGTTTGGCCACGAGATGGACAAGTGCGTAGGCCTGGGAGCCACGGCTCCGACGGGCGCCAACTTCAAGCCCGATGTTCCCATCGGTGCCGAGGTGAAGTTCATCTTTGTGCGGCTGAGCGTGTTGCGGGAGTACCTGAAGCAGACGCTCGAGATGCCGAGCCTCCCCTTCGAGTACAGCTTTGAACGCGCCTTGGACGATTGGGTGTTCATGTGCTTCTTTGTGGGCAACGATTTTCTGCCCCATCTTCCCAGCCTTGAGATCCGAGAGGGTGCAGTTGATCGGCTCGTGGAGCTGTACAAGAAGTGCGTCTACAAGACGAAGGGCTACCTCACCGACTCGGGGGATGTCAATCTGGACAGGGTGCAACTGATAATGACGGATTTGGGCAATGCCGAGGACCAGATCTTCAAGAGTCGCCAGCGACGCGAGGAACAGTTCAAGGCCAGGGACAAGGCGCGCAAAAGGCAGGAAAGGAATCAGGACCACAGGTCTCTAGATCAGTCGGCGTTCGGGGCCAGCGCCGTGGGACCAAACAGCCAGCAAAAGAGTATTGGCAACTACAAGGAGGAAGCAGCTGCCCTTCGGAACAGAAAGCGGACAAGTGACCAGGCCGATTTGGATGACGAAGATGAGGAGGAGAACAACGACGAGGTAAGATTGTGGGAGGATGGATTTAAGGACCGCTACTACGAGTCCAAGTTCGATGTGGCGCCGGGAAACCAGCAGTTCCGCTACGCCGTAGCCCTGCAGTACGTCCGGGGATTGTGCTGGGTGCTGAAGTACTACTACCAGGGCTGTGCCTCCTGGAACTGGTATTTCCCATACCACTATGCACCATTCGCATCGGATTTCGTTAACATCCAGGGCCTGTCCACCATTTTTGAAAAGGGCACAAAACCTTTCAATCCTCTGGAGCAACTGATGGGTGTCTTTCCGGCAGCCAGTAGCTCGCACGTGCCCGAACCTTGGGCACAGCTCATGTCCAATCCGGAGTCGCCGATCATTGACTTCTATCCCGAGGACTTCAAGATCGATCTAAATGGCAAGAAGTTCGCCTGGCAGGGAGTGGCCCTGCTGCCCTTCGTAGATGAGAAGCGGCTCTTCAAGGCGTTGGTTCCCTACTATGATCAACTGACGGGAGAGGAGGTCAAGCGCAACAAGCGGGGCGACAATTACCTGTACATCAGTAACGAGAGTCCGCACTTCAAGAAGGTAAAGAAAATAAGCGATAAATCTGATGAGAGTGTGTGCAAAGCCATCTCCTTTGACGGAATGCGAGGCACATTGGGAAAGACCGAGCTAAACACTGCCATCAGCGGCATTCTGAGGTCACCGATCTCCGGACTCTCGGACATCAATGAAAACACGACTGTGACGACCACCTTCAAGGACCCGGAGTACGATGATGATTACATTTTCGAGGCAAAGCGTTTGGAAAACGCCGTGGATCCGCCACAGGTGCTACCCAACGAACAGACTGGTCAAAAGCATCGTCCTGTCATCGGTTTCAATAGCCATTTGACCAGGGCCTACGTTCCGGACAGCGGTCATCGTATGCTGAATGCCGGAGTTAGAAACGCTCAGGGCGGAGGAGGTTACGGCCAAGGAGGTGGCTACAACCAGGGCGGAGGAAGTCAGGCACAGGGCTATCAGAACAATAGCCGCAACTATAACTACAACTACAATAACAACTACAACCAGCAGCAGCAGCATCAGGGTGGCGGATATCAAGGCAACAATAACTACAATAACCGACAGCAATATGGACACAATCAGAGATTCAACCAGGATAATTCCAATCAGCAGCGCAACTATAACAACTACAATGGTCCAAGGAATAACAACTACCAGCAACAGGGCGGCAACAGGCAACAGAACCAGAACCAGAACTATAGGAGATTTTAAGTAGACCATACATACAATTTAATATGTAGCAGTTCTTAAAAGTATAATCCGAGTTCATTTTTTACAAAATACTTTAATAAAAACAAAAAATAGTCGTTAAGGATTTTCAGACAAACTGATGCCAAGGCATTTTTTCAATGAACAAGTTTTTCTTCAAAACGATAAATTTAGTTGTAGAGGTCAAATCAAGCAGCAATACCTTTTTTGCATTCTTCACCAAAACAGTTTACATCCAACATCTAGTATCAGTGCCTCAATGAAAATAAGTCAAATTACAATGTTAAAACGGTATTCCAATGACTGCATGAGAGATATGAATTCATAAACTGACAGATATGAAATTAAAGATATTGTTATTACATATTCAAAGATCGCATTACACTTAACAAAGATGCAATATAAATTTTAGCAAACACAAAACAAACAATTTTCAATTAAATTATCAGTTCATTAACTGTTTAGTTGGTATATACTTTTCACATATCACTTATACCAACGAATTATTATATTTTGTAGAGCTTTCCAACTAAGATATTAAAATCATAAATATACCTTATACCTTATACCTTAAAATCCTCAGTGTGCATTTCATATAATTGTGATGCCTCGAAATGTGTTTATTACTTATGCAGCCAAAATTGCCAATTTTGATTACCTAATTTAATATTTTTAATAAAGATTTTTCCGATGCTTTTCCAAAACTTTGCTCAAATCTCTTGTTTATTAGATTCTCTATAAGCCCAAGTTATCAATAAAAGAAAAAAACGGAATTATGGAATAGCATTCGCTATATTTAACGAATGGAATGTTATTATATCGATTTCCATGTAACATAATAAATATTTTAATTTCGAAAACAATACTCATTACAGCTAAGTGGTATTCTTAAAACTTACGGGGGCCTTTTCTTAAAACGATCGTGCTTTCTCTACGAAGAAAAGTTCACTGAGCTTGAAAAATATATATATTATATTACGAATGCTTCTTAATCCACGAGCTTGAAACACAAGTGTTAAATGAGGTTGAAGGTAAGGATCTAGTGAAGCGGAAACTACAAAATATATATCGATTATATGAATATACGCTTAAGAGGTAACACAATGTGAGCTTAGTTCACGTTCGATTCGGAAGAGTTTGGCTATCGGTTCGGTATGAGGTGCGAGCTTATCAGATATTGGTGATAATGTTCTTGTTGCGATCGGATATGCCATCGAACTTGCCATGGCTGGAGAATGGCGTGCGCATGCGTCGCGTGAAGGAACGAAGGCATCGCTGCCCATCCAGACTATCCGGATTGTTGGTCACCGCCAGGAGGTTGACTAAGAAAATAAAACAAAAAAAATATATTAGTATATTTAAAAAACTTCAATTCTTATAATAAATGTCATCTTACCCCTTTGCTCGAGTAGTTTAATTTGTTTTTTGGCCTCTCTCAGCTTGTTCATTAGAATCTCGTTCTTGCGCTTTTCGACGGTCAGCTCCAGACCGAGCTGCAGCTTGCTCTTGGAGTCGACGGCACTCAGAATTCTGCAAAGTGAGTAAGTATATTAGGCTGATCACAAATATATATACTTTATAGGATCGAAAAAGTATAAGACAAGAAGCTGACTCTAATAATAAATTCAAATTTATTTAACTTACGGATGGTTGAATATAGACTGCGAAGTGGGCCTCTTGTCGGGATTTGGGTGCATCATCTGGGCTATCAGTTCGTTGAAGTCTCTGCTGAGACTTGGCAGGACCGGTACCATGCCATTTCGCAGATTGTGCCACTCGGGTCCATTCTTAGGAAGCGGACCACCGCCCGCCACCTCGAAGAGCGTGATGCCCAGCGAAAAGATGTCGGCCTTGAAGAGATTCGAGTAGTCCTCCTGAAGGACCTCCTTGGACAGATATCGGCAGTCGCCCTCCTCGACATGGGGCTCTTTAACGGAAGTCACATGGCCCAGGTCGCCGATTTTGTACGTTACCAGGTTTTCCGAATGGCGTAGTTCCTCGTAGACGCTGTCCATGCCATCGTCGTCTTTGGTCTGCTGCGACTGCTCCTCGGCCAGCTTATGGGCATTCGGATTCATAGTGGAGAATATGTTCTCCGGCTTTAGATCCATATGCACCAGGTCATTGGAATGGATGTAGCGCAGGCCCTCGATCACATGCATGAGCACAATCTTCAGATCGGCTTCGCCCAAGAAATGATCCTGGATCCGCGCATGCAAACTGCCCCCGTCGCAGAACTCGTTCTGTATCAGCATGTGATCATCCTCCGCCCAAGCGGAGTAGTACCTAACCACGTTATCGTGCTTGCCCAGAACAGCATGGGCCCAAACCTCGTTCAGGGCTCTCTTTCTGCAAGGAATGTAATGATTATTTGAAGCTCAATCTAAGCAACTGATAAATACTTACTCAAAAGAGCTGCCTGCCACCGGCTTCTTACTTTTCTTGATCGCGTAGATGCACCCATCTAGTCGATTGACGCACTGGAACACCACACCAAACTCGCCCACGCCGATCACGTTGACCTGCATGAACTCCCGCTTGAAGCGACTGATGTTCGTGTCGTGCAGGGCCAGCCGCTTAGGAGCCTGCTGGTGGATCTCGCGCAGTGAGTCGCCCGCCTCTTCTGTCGTATCATCGTCGCAGGCATCGCTGAGCAAATACTTTTGCATAGCATTCACATTCAGGTTGAGGTTTTCGCGTCCAAATTGCGTGCGACAACGCTTCTTATTGTGAGCGAGGAGACCTAAAAAGGAATAAGTTATAATTTCGCTAATAAGATTAAGTATTCAAAACATTTTAGTCCTAGTTTTCTAATAACATTGTAGGTTTGTTATTAACATTAAATACAATAAGTATAAGGAGCATATGACTTGATATCTCTGTAGAGAGCGAATGATTTCTGTGTAATAATGAGTGATTAAGTGAATAAGATATCTTTTTATGAACTGGAGGTACAACAAACTGGCAAATCCGATGTTTAGAAAGAAGTTCTGTGGCGTGGGGGAACCATTGACTACGGAGGAAAACTAACATCCTGATATAAGCTATTTACACAGAAACAACGTTATCTATTGGGTTTATAATAACGGAGTGAATGAATGTGGGAACATAAACTCACTGTCTGGTGTGAAGGGATTCACATTTGCCGTGTCCTGGGTGGGCAGTTTGCGGTTGTGCAGGGGCAGGGATCGCGGACGCTCGCGGAAGAGCTCCTCGCTGCGCCGGGTGGCGTTCACTGCCGCTGCTGCCGCCGACAGATGATTGCTGCACTGCGTCGTCGACTTCTGCAGGATGGTCTTTGGGGTGGCCGGGGTGCTGAAGAGGCGCAGTGCTCGCACCTTCTGGCACGGAGGCGACATGGACACGTCCCCGTCGCCGGCATCGTCCTTGCTGCCCAGATGATGCTCCTCGCCGGAGGATAGCTTCTGCCGCTGATGCTGGTGGAGGGGATGATGCGGACTCGCTCCTTCGGGCGGGTCCTTGTCAAAGTCGTCGTCGGCGAAGCGAAGCTTGCGCGGATTGAAGAGCTGCGGCGACGGTGATCGCGATCGCAGCTCGACGCTCGAATCGAGCGAGGTGACGCTCATCTCATGCTCCGGCTGGCGGAAAGCCATTGTAGGTGTCTCGCTGCCCGCGGTGGAAGGCGATTTACTTTTCCGGATATTTCACAACTATTTCTAACGAACCGAAGGGCAGAAAATAGGAAGCGTTGGGTAAAAAAAGGCAAAACAAAACACAAAACAATATTGAACTGAAGGAATGCGAAGAAGAATAGTGTGGCGTATCCGAAGCGCCAGAATATACCAGACTGAAATTTTAATAAAAATACTAAAAATGGCCATGCGGAGTTGCCGGATCGAATCAGTTTTGGTGTTTGGAGCAATCGTTAGAGCTGCGTAAAAAAATTAAAATTTTTTTGTTCCAAATTTAAAAGCCTATCAGCGCTAATGGTTGCTCTATTGAAGAGAGTATATTTTATTTATCACCAGACAGAGTTCAAAGCAAAAACCACAAATATATACCAACTTAATATGGGGCAACAAAAATACCAAGGTAGAGTTGCCAGACTAATTAAAGTTCCACTTATCCATGCCCGCCCAATTCAAACGCAAGACCAACTTTTTGGCATTTAATTTATTGATTGAATATTTGTGTATTTTAGTGTTCAGCGCATTTGCTATATAATTCAAGCACACATCTCAAGAATCCATACATATGTATTTGTTTAATACTTAACTACGACATCAATGTATGAATAATTATTATGCACTTCTGCAAGACTTAATTATTACGAATATTGAAACACATCATACAGAGTTTTGGAGTCGAATAATCAAGTGTATTGAGTAATGTAATTTGAAAAATGTGTAGAATTGACATGAAAATGGTAGCGATGCATCGTCTCCTGCACATTCGAGTATAATTCCAGGGTTAGCAAAAAAAATCCAAGGCAAATCAATTTACATAGCAAACTTGACTAGATCGATAATCTGCTGCTGCCGATCCATTTCTATATCTTATCTTTCTTTCCGTCAAATGATTCTCCGAAGCGCTCTTACTTGTTCTGCATCTGCATGTGCTTGTTGTTGTTTCTGTTTTTTTTTTGTTGTTCTGTTGGAACATAAGAATATGCAAACTTGAGTTCCACTATAAATTAAAACCCTTAACTAATATGGTTCTGGACAACTAAACCGTAGATGGATACTGTATGAAAAAGTATTTGGGAATCTGTCTTGTTACATGTGAGGTTGTTGCTTTTTTGTTTTTGTTTTGGGAATGAGGGGAAGATTCCAGTGTGTGGTTGGTGTCCCCCACTTTGCCGGATTCATCAGGGGTTGCAGTTCAGGCCCTCATCTTCGGACGCCGGGCTGTGTCTGCATCCGTTCGGTGTCGCTAGTCCCTGGAAACGGACCGTGAGGCGGACGAGTCGCCGCGACGCCTGGGCGGCGATCCTCGGCGCACCGCCGGCGACGCCGAGCGAGATCGTGAACGTGACCGCGGCGATGCCCTGGCCCTATCCTCGTCCTCATCCTCATAGCGACGTTTTGGAGGAGGAGGGGAGTCTACCGCCCCACTGCCATTGCGCTCATGGTCGCTGTACCGCGACGCCGATCCATTCTCGTCCCGTCCGTTCGAGCGGCCGGAGCGGCGTCCCACCGAGCCGGCGGAGCGACTGCGGGATCGGGTGCCGGACTTGGAGCGAGTGCGCCTGCGACGGGATGTGCTGCGAGATCTGCTGAACGAGTTGCTTCTGTAATAGGAAAGGGAGAGATTGTCGTTAGCAATAGGTTTATGAAATTTTCTATTAAGAATTCAGTGGTGGCAGAGATAGAAGTATTTTTGATTTGGAATGGATATGTATATTATTCCTTTGAATAAAATAGATAAGAAATGGCATGACTTAAATGACTAGCAGCAGAAACAAAAAGATGAATAGAACATTTAAAGAGGAAACCGCCCACTTAGTCATAAATCTATATAGTTTTCCCCGAAGTAAAGTAATTGCTGGGGTTTGATAGGGTACATCCATCTTAAAAACGGAAATATCCCCTCTGATCCGCTAGGGTACGAATTGGGTATTGGAGATTGTTCTTTTATTGTACGAAACAATATTTAAGAAGAATTATAGAACAACATTAAGTGAATACTGTTACAACCTTGCCCAGTTTTAATGTCACATCTATTACAAACATCACATTTATCTTAATTTTAGACCATAGGAGACCCTTTTCCTTCTCAATGCTTGCCGCCCTTTTTCTTGTAATGCTTGTGACCGTGCTTCTTGGATCCCTTCTCGCCGTGCTCCTTTTTCTCCTCGTAGCTGTCACCGTGCTTGTGCTCCTTCTTGTACTTCTTGTGGTCCTCGTCGTGGTGGCCCTTCTTGTAGTGACCATTGTGCTTCTTGTGGCCCTTCTTCTTGCCGCCCTCATGCTTTTCGCCCTTCTTGTGCTCGCCATGCTCCTCGGCATGGTGATGGTGCTCCTTTCCGTACTTCTTGTGATGGCCACCCTTGTGCTCGTCATCGTAGAACTTCTTCTCCTTTTTATACTCATCCTTCATGAACTTCTTGTGATATTCCAATTCCTTGTGGCCCTTCTTGTGCTTCTTTTTGTGATGATGCTTGCCGCCCTTCTTGTGGGAACCGTGTTCATGCTTTTCACCGTGCTCGTCCTTCTCATCGTAGTGCTTCTTCTTCTTCGATCCCTTGTCGCCGTGATGGTGCTCGTGATCCTCAAGCTCGTGGTGCTTCTTCTCGTCCTCCTCCCACTCCTTGTGCTCCTTGTGGCCGTGCTCACCCTTGTGCTCCTCGTCACCAAACTTTTTCTTCTCATACTTGTCGCCACCCTCCTCCTCCTCGGATGACGATGACTCCTTCTTTTTGGCCGCCGCGTAGGTCAGCAAGAGTCCCAGGACCAGCAGCAGCTTCAGATGACCATGCATCTCGCATCGTTTTCTCGTTCGACTGGCACCAGTTACATTGGCTTTTATATAGCACTCCATGGTGGACCGACCACAAAATGCTTAAAATGCCTGGCGTCATGATGCAAGCAAACCTCTGGGGCTGACGTAAAAACTTTCTGCTTCATTGGCCTCTTTACCGCAGTCAATCGAACTTCTTGCCACGCGGAGAGTGACAGATTGGCCTCCAAAGTTGGGAGCTGCTTCTAACAAATGTTGCAAGGCTTTTGCGGACAAGAACTGAATGTTTAAGAATACTTTTTAGTAGGTATTAAAGTAAAGGTTCTACGAAAAACTTTTCAGGCCTTATAGGAATTTAGTTTTATGTATTAAACCTGATTATCATTCTATTAAATTCAAATGATTGTTAAATTTTTCATTATACAAGTAATGAGTTGTGTGAACACTGCGCTGAATGCAGGTACTAATGTAAAAAAAACAACAAAGATACTTTAAAATATATAGTTTATATTCGAGGGGCTGTTACATAAATCTCTTGGGGCGGAATTCGGAAAAAATGTGAGTTAGCAACAGTTTCCGGCAAATTTCGCTTAAAGAGATATCAATAATACCACCAATTTAAAATTAAATACAGTTGACTTGAGAAAGTAATTCATCTGTACCAGGAAATCAATACGAACATTTTCCGAAGAACTCAATCATTTTGTTTTTTTTTTGCAAATATTACATTTTATTTCTAATGTACAACAGAAACTTTAATCTTGTTGGTAATTGTAAAATCCTATACTTTACAGTAAGGTAACCTAGGATACTAAGACTTAAGACCTACAACTAGTCAAGGTGGAGAAACTACTCCTGGTGCTTTGACTTTTTCTTTTTCTTGGCTGGCGTTGGCACGTCCTCGGGCTCAGGCGCTGCCGCCTCCTCAACGGCCTCCTCGTCCTTCTGCTTCTTCTTCTTTTTCTTCTTCTTCTCGGACTTGACCTCCTCCTCGGCAGCCTCCTCCTCCTCCTTAACCTCCTCCTTCTTAACAGGTGTCTGCTCCGCCTCGGAGTGCTTGCGTTTCTTGACGTTCAAGGTGTTGTCGGCCTCTGGTTGGTAGGTGAACACCTCACTGAAAAATCAATGAATATATTAATAAACAGAACAAACTAACAATGACATGGTGGTAAACACAATTTCGCTCAGACAGCCAAGGTTTATCGTCATCGTAATCGGATATATGCGAAACCTTTTGGGTATCATCACTGGAAATCGGTATGCTCTTATATAATTGACTACTATAACCCACCTCTTGGCCTGGTACTTCTCGAACTTGGCCTTGGCCTTGCCGGTGCCAGAGAGTTTGCGCAGGTTACCCTCCTCCAGCAGTCGCAGACGCGACTCAAGCTTCACCTTGTGCGCCGCACCCAGCTCGAAGGTGGCCTCCTCGCCGAAGGCATCCACTCGCGTGGCCAGCGACGCCTTGGCGGCCAGCGAACGCGACATCTTGCCTTTGTTCTTCTGGCTGGCCTGTCCCACCAACTGAGCGTGGTAGATCAAACCATACTTTGGCGTATCCTTCTTGGTTTTCAGTGCACGGAAGAGGGCCTTTTCGGCGCCCAGGATTTGCACGGTGGACGAGGGATGCTTGGCCAGGTTGATCAGCGAACCGGCATGGGCAATCAGCCGAGCGCCCACTGTATCACCCACAAGTACAGTCAAATTTGGAGCCATGGCCATCATTCTGGCCTTCAAGTAGTCGTACAAGTGAACGCGGTAATCGTTGATCGATATGATCTCGTCGCAGAGGCACTGAATGTTCAGAACATCCTCCTCGGAGATTTCTGTGCCCATCGAGATTTCAGCCGCCTCCTTAACCTTCTCCTCCACATCTTCGGGCAGAATGTCGGACAGATCGCTCGCCGCCATGTTGTCCCTGGTGCCCACCAACTTGATGGTCTTCACGAAGGCAATGTTGTCGGTGATGATCTTGCCCAGCTCGGGGAAGTGCCAGCCGTACCACTCGCGGGCACGCATCATGTAGTTGTTCAGCTCCTTGTCCAGGTCATCCAACAGGCACTGGGCCTGCACAATCATAGTATCGATCTTGTCGGGCGAGAACTTGAGCTTGTAGCGCGACAGGGAGTGGGCGAGACCTAGGGCCATGGCGGTCATCTCCCGCTTGGGCAGGCCGCCGAGCAGACTGTCCGCCTGCTGGCGGATGCAGCGCATCAGCTCCTGGACGCCAGTGTTGTAGACACACTGCACCGACAGCTTGTCCTTGATGGCTGTGCCCAGTTTGGCATCGGCCACCAACAGCGACGACTGCACATCGTCGACGAGGATCTTCTTAAGGGTCTTCTTTAGCGGCTTGGCCACCTTGCCCTCCACCGCCGCCGTTGCAGCGGCCAGCGCCTCTGTGGTGTCATTGAATTTCTCAAAGTGCTTCAGCTTCAGCAGCTTGTTGGCCTTCTCCGGAGTCTCGAACTCCAGGTACAGATTGTCCACCTGCTCCAGCTTCTTCTCGTCCAGCAGCTTGAAAATCGCGTAGCCCGCCGGCGTTTCGTAGAGCACAAACATTGCGTCACACTCTGCTCATTTAGTTTTAATTTTAATTCAATTTAAAACCAGCGAAACCCTCGGCAGCCAGCAGCAACTTAACCTTCTTTTCCGTATGCCGCGTGTAAAAGAAAAATCCAAAATGAACGCAAGCACGTGTGCCTTCGTTGGTCGGCGTTGCCACTCCGCTTGCGCTTAACAGCACCACTGTAGAAAATTCACCACGGACATTAAAGCGCGGGGAATGGTAAAAAGTAGGACAGTTTACCGACTTTCCGATACCCTTGTCTGATACACAGGGTAAGATTTCTACATTTTTAATATTTTGAACTCGGGGTCATCTTATTTGTAACTTAGTATGGCTTTTAATTTATTGCACGTTTTTTATATATATTACTTTCACTTGTGTTAATTCGAACACGCAAATTATATATTAGAGACTTTAAGCCCGTTCATTTAAAATTGTATTAAAAGGACGGTAAATTTTAAGTTATTAAAAACAAGTTCGTAAACCTAAGAATATAGAAATAAAACTGCAGGTGCAAATCTGTCAATAAAACACAGTGTAATCAATTTATAATACACATAAAATTGACATTTATCAAGACGGTTAATTATTTAAAATAAGACAAATAAAATTCATATACCCTTACCTATAAAGGGTAATGGGTATACTGCTCGAGCACGTGTGCGTGCTGTTAAGGTACAGCACTACCCGCTGCGCCCAACAGCACACTTCGCGGCTAACGGCACGCTGTTGGGGTTAACAGGGCTTGGGTGTTCGCCCCTTACAGCGCTGTTTTCCGCCACCTAAATATTCACCACTGACCAAACAAACTCAACATTTTTGCATGGGCATACACACACACACACATATGTATAAAGACATATATATGTATGCGAATCACTCGCCATGTTACAAAAAGGAAGAACTTTTTGGCAATGAATGAAAAAAGGGAAATGGCGATTGCGAATACTAAATGCGCTTACCTGCGTCGCTGCCTGGCTTTCCTTTCGCGGCAGTGGCGTGCGAAATGGCCGCGTCCGCCGCACTCGTAGCACTTATCGTCGCCACGACCGCCGCCGCCGCCACCACCACCACGGTCGCGTCCACCAAGTCCTCCGCCGCCACCGCTTCCTCCTCCTCCACCACCACCGCCGCCTGATCTGGCGTACTTCCCGGTGGACAACTCCACACGGGCACGGCGTCCGCAGACCGTCCGTCCGTCCAGGCCGCGCACAGCATCCGCCGCATCGCGGGCACTCTCGAACTCAACGAAGGCAAAGCCCGGCGGATTGCGGGCAATCCAGACGCTGCGCAGACTGCCGTACGCCCCAAACACATATTCCAGATCGTTTTTGCGGGCATTGTTGCCCAGATCGCCCACGTACACCTTCCTATCGCTCGGATGGCGCGACATTTCGATATCTGTTTGTTTTATTTGGTTTGGCTTTTCTCCGGGCTCAACTGTGTTAATGTGGCAGCACCGCAGCAGCAGCGCAGAAAAAATCGATGATGGGAACGAATTCACTTGCCCCCGCCTTCCTGGGGAGCTCGCTGGGTTGAACGCGCACTGGCGAACGCTTTTAATCACTCAACGCGTTCGGCAATTGCGAATTTTTATGTTTATTTTCTATTTAATACAGCGCAAAACTCATTTTTTACCGGGTAGCAAACAGAGTGACCGCGGGCGGTCCGTTAAAAGAAACCGGGGGCTTGCAAAAAAATATACCAAACGTTATGCCCACTCGATGGTTGATGGTCCTCTTATAACAGGAGGGTCTGGCAACGCGGTCCGGCAGGGTCGGCGAATAAACAGCAGCCCAGCTCATAGACCCATTTTTGGATTTATATCATTAAAAAATTTGCGGTCTTTTTAAATTAAGTACAAAGGCTTTCTATGTGTTTTAATAAAATAAATTGTTAAAACAAATGAACCTTATTAATTTGAAATTGGTATTAAACTAAACATTTTATTAAGTTCACGAAATTTTAATTTTTTTAGAGTATTTAACATTGAATTCGAAAATTCAGTGGTGACAAATATTGTGCCTAATTTAAAAATCTGTAACAGATTTTCCAGCAATTCATATAACAACAAGAAATATGAAGACATTAAGAGCTCAACTGAATGAGAAATCATATTTCTATAAACATTTTTAAAGCGCCTAGCCATGCACACGTTCCTAATTTTAATGCCGAGTTCTTAAAGATTACATTGATTTTAAAAACATTTTTAAAACATTCGGTATATCCAGTATTTTGTACGGCTGTGAATTAGTACACCTAAAATACCTGTGGTATTTTTTCTCGCGAGCGGCGGTCACACAGCATTAAACGTGGCGGCGATTTATCATATAAGTTAGGTTATAATATCGTATGCATCAAAATCATACAATTATTTATAAGCTAGTTTTTTAAGGAAAAAACACTTAAATTTAGTGAATTTGCAGTGCGAAATCTTTAAAAAACCACAGACGAACACTTGGCACAAACGGTAAGAATGGAAAGCGACTGAAAATCGCATTTACATAACAATTACGGTGCTTTAACAAAATGCCTGACTAGCCTTTCCTTTCCAAAAAAAAAAACGCCTGAATACCTGACGCAGCTGCCATTGCTCGCCGTGCGAATGTGTTGGTGTGTGTGTGGGCTAAAATTTGTTCGAAACGTTTCAATTGTTTTCTCTGCTTTTCCTTTTTTCTTGCCAAACTGAGGTCTGTGCAATTTTCAGCGCTTTTCCCTGCCTCTTTCGGCACTCTATTTCCACCCATCAAAGTGGAAAATTTCATATTTTTATACATACATACGAAAAAATGCTATGTATAACACCACACCAACGCACACGCACACCACTGCGGAACGCTCGGCGGCCATTCGCGCACACACACGCTCGAACGCGCACACGTACGGCCAACTCATGCACTAACACACAGCAGCAGATTGCGGTGCAAAATACAAAAATCGTGCGAAATTTGTAAAATTGCGTAGTAGAAATCTTGGTTAATTTCGCCAACATTTCCCCGTTCCCTTGGGTGAGAAATGTAAAAAGTGAACCCGGCGTGACCTGTGCATTCGTGAGTGGCTTGGTGTGATGGTCGTGCTAAATAACCTGCTTCGACTAAAATAAAGAAAATAGAGTAAAAATGAAGTGAAATGTGTTTGTTCCATTTTCTAAGAATCGAGAGCCAAAAACATTGAGATTTCTTTGTTGTAGCATTTTTTTCATCAGGCACGTCTTCCATTTTGTTTTTTTTTTCTTCGTTGCCTCTGCCGTGGTGAATTTCCCACACACTCTCGGTGCGATTCATTCAGTTCAGTCGCGAGTACTCCGCCAGAAGGGAGAAAAAGTAATCGGTTCAAGCTGGAGGAAAACTTAAAAAGAATTGTTTGTTTTTTCTTTCGAAGGAATTAACATTTATTTGAGGGCATTGGTTTTTGGTACGTTTGCTTTTCGCTTTCCATTCGCGTTCACGTCACACATGGCGTTGCCACATGTTTTTCACTTGTTAATGGGCAAAATGTCTGCGAGAGAGCTGTGAGTGAATTAAAACAGGGTTTACTTGATAAATAAGTGCATTTAAATCCAGTTTTCGGTTGCCAATCGCACCCAAGACTTTTGAAATATATTTGTGTGAATGTGTTTACTTGGCCCACATCTGGCTATAGCCTGGAATCCCCTGGCAAATGGCGCGCAAATGTGGTGAACCGGCGACAGCTCTCTTTTCACCTTGGAAATAAGTTCGTTGTTCTCATTGATAGACGGCGTGAGCGTGTGTGGGTGTGAGTGAGGCTGGGGACTTTGTTACAACAACAACAAATCCGCTCGTGACACAGCGAAAAGAAAACAATACTTTCACGTAGCCGTGTAAAAGCAAGTGAAAGATGAGGAAGAGAGAGTGGGGATTGGTGTGGAGGGGAGGAGCAGCAAACTTGTGAACGTGTACAAAAAGCAGTTAGACGGCCGACAATCACACACATTTACTGTGGAATGTCTTTGGCTGAGTGTGTGTGTGTGTGTACCGGCCGGTTGCTTCTGCCGCTTTTTCTCATTTTCTGCCTACCTGCGCCTTTCATAATTACTATGCCTACTATTTGGCTCTCTTTCACTGCGTGCGTGTGTGTTTTTGTCATCTGGTCGTTTCCACCCATTCGCACCCAAGATCTTTGCACTGGGAGAAAAATTGCCACGATATGATAACGAATTTCTAGCTAGAAAAGATAAATAATAATATCTATAGAGGTGACATTTGAACTCTATGTTTCGATAACAAAACCAGGTTTATTCCAATTTTCTATTTTAATTTTAATATAACCCAGAGGTCATAATTGTAATTAATAAATGTGTCGGCTCCACACTGATATTCTGTTTTCTCTCTGTGTAACCAGATTTGACTAACCAGATTTCTTTTATTCTATCTGTATCTTTCCATGTGCCTGCGAACAAAAACAACCAACTACATCGATATCATCGTTACGATAGAAAGTTACGTGTGAACGTCGTGGCTTTTGTTTAATTGTTTTGAAGGAAAAGAACTTTGGCAACGTTTAAACCAACCTAAGATTCATACAAAACCACATAAAAACTACCAGCGCAACAGTGTAAAAATTAAAAAAAAGTGCTCCCCCAAAAAAAAACAAAGGCAACCAACAAGTTAATTTCTTTTGCACCCCGTGTTAATAAACAGCGTCAAGATTACGTCAATTATTGAGAACCTACCCGGCGCCATAGCTCACAACCACAACCAGAACAACATCATGGAAGAGGATGAGAGGGGCAAACTGTTTGTGGGCGGCCTGTCCTGGGAGACGACGCAGGAGAACCTGTCGCGCTACTTCTGCCGCTTCGGGGACATCATCGACTGCGTGGTGATGAAGAACAACGAGAGCGGCAGGTCTCGCGGCTTTGGCTTCGTGACCTTTGCCGATCCCACCAACGTCAACCACGTGCTGGCGAACGGACCGCACACGCTCGACGGCCGCACCATCGACCCCAAGCCGTGCAATCCGCGCACCCTGCAGAAACCGAAGAAGGGCGGCGGCTACAAGGTCTTCCTGGGCGGCCTGCCCTCGAACGTCACCGAGACCGATCTGCGCACCTTCTTTGGACGCTACGGCAAGGTCACCGAGGTGGTCATCATGTACGACCAGGAGAAGAAGAAGTCCCGCGGCTTCGGTTTCCTCTCCTTCGAGGAGGAGTCCTCCGTCGAACACGTGACCAACGAGCGGTACATCAATCTGAATGGCAAGCAGGTGGGTGATCGCCGAGAATTTGTGTTAATCATAGTTACCTATTACCTTTAAAAAAATTATAGAATCTCCGATCATTGATCAATCTGTTCAAATAATTATTATAACTGTTTTTATTACAATTTCCGTTAAAAATCGAAACTGGTTTTCGATCAAAGTGTGATAAAATACATGATCTGCGTTCTATTTTTCTTTTCACATTGCGTAAATCTCCCCAGAATCTTTGGAAAGACAGTGTATTAGGTGTCAATTTGCAAAGAATAATATCACATCTTCGTGAATTTTAAGTTTACCTTGAATCATTCATGATTTAAAATAGATTTTGTTTATTTAATTAACGATCCATACTAGTTTTTGGAAAACTAGAGTAAATAATTGAACGGGTTCCTGTCTTTTTGTCCACTATCTGTACTAGATCTAAGTGCAATGTAATTTTAGCGTTAAACTATTTGTGGCTCAACTATTAATCACTATTGAACGCCCCTCAGGTCGAGATCAAGAAGGCCGAGCCTCGTGACGGATCTGGCGGTCAGAACTCCAACAACAGCACTGTGGGCGGCGCCTATGGCAAGCTGGGCAACGAGTGCAGCCACTGGGGACCGCACCACGCTCCCATCAACATGATGCAGGGCCAAAATGGCCAGATGGGTGGACCACCACTGAATATGCCCATTGGCGCGCCGAACATGATGCCTGGCTACCAGGGCTGGGGAACATCGCCGCAGCAGCAGCAGTACGGCTACGGCAACAGCGGCCCTGGATCCTACCAAGGCTGGGGAGCTCCACCAGGACCCCAGGGACCGCCACCGCAGTGGTCGAACTACGCTGGACCACAGCAGACGCAGGGCTATGGCGGCTATGACATGTACAACTCGACGTCGACCGGAGCTCCCTCGGGACCATCGGGCGGCGGCAGCTGGAACTCGTGGAATATGCCACCCAACTCTGCTGGACCCACTGGGGCACCAGGAGCCGGAGCCGGCACCGCCACGGACATGTACTCACGTGCCCAGACCTGGGCGGCGGGCGGTCCCTCGACCACCGGACCCGTTGGCGGCATGCCTCGGACCGGACCCGGCAACTCGGCCTCCAAGTCCGGCTCTGAGTACGACTACGGCGGCTATGGCTCGGGCTATGACTACGACTACAGTAACTACGTGAAGCAGGAGGGCGCCTCCAACTACGGAGCTGGACCGCGGTCAGCGTATGGCAACGATAGCTCCACGCAGCCACCCTATGCAACCTCTCAGGCTGTCTAAGGCGGAGAATCGAGTGGAGGAGGAGTAGGAGTAGGAGTAGCAGAGCAGAGCAACATGTCGTCGTCGGCGTCGTCCTCGGCGAATGATGAAGAAGACAGAAAAGATGGTGGTAATTGTAAGCTAAAGCGTCGTCTGTTCGTTTTTATTTCAGATCAGATCAGTTGTTGAAATTAATATTTAAAACTCTTGTACAACTATTATTTAAAGCGAAACAAATTTAACACGAGAATACCTAGCGACAAGTCAGATTCATAGATATACATGTATGTTCTATAGCAGCGAGTATGTAATTCATAGGCGAAACATCAGCACCCAACACTCACCCATTCAGACAAGAGAACATTATTTCTTTCATGCGCCTCATAAACAACACCACACCACACACCACAACAAGCATTCTCCTGTATCCCAAACTCACCAACCAAACAGCCAGAATCAACTAACGAGAACTTCCCAACCAACTAAAACCCGTAGAAACATATGATACATGGCATTAACAACAACAAACAAACAAAATAGAAATGTGAAGATTTAAACGTAATGATTTACAAGTATAAAGTTTAGCTAATTAGACACAAGAAGATCAAGAATAGAGTGCGAAATACCAACAACAAACACAAAGAAAATAAGAACTTATAATTTTATTTAAAGAGTAAACAAGTAAAGATCCCCTTAATTACTAAAATTAGTAAATACAAATTCGAAATTGTACATTTTAAAGCAAAAGCACGTCGGTATCCGATCTGCTTTCGCCACCACCCGCTTTCTAGATCGGGCGACAAGGTTTAGTGAGGGTTTGAGAAGGAAACGACTTTGGATATAAGTCTTTTCTGAGAACTCTTCGCTTGCCTTAGCCTTTGTGACTCATTATTGAATGGGGCCGCGAAAGTTGGCTTTTGTTTTTAACATAGTTGTTTCCAGCCAATGGACGAATCTAATCAGCAACTGTTTTATCGGCTAATGGGGTCGCTGGATGCGAGGGTGTGGTGGCGAAAAGGGGCGGCACTGACTTGGGAAAGATACGTTACAAAATTAAAAATTTACCATTTAAAGTAAACAAAACAAAAACTAGCTAAAAGTTAAACTACATATATAAAGAAACCTAATTAATAAGCGTACGTGGTCGTTTACATCTAAGCGAAAGTTGAACTTGAAACTAGAATTATATAGTGCGTTGGATTTATTATTTAGTTAAAGCGAAGTGAAGAAGCCAAGCAGCAGCAGCATGATATGATGATTGATTATAATGGATATGGAAACCAACAAAACAAACACACACACACTCTTAACCAATATACATAAAAACTATATACATACATACTTATATACAATATATAAATATATATATAACGAGTATATATAGAAGGAAACAAAAAAGGAAAAAAGAGTAAAAAAAGAGCAAAAGGAAACGTAAATTTAAAGCTACAGTTAATGAAAGAGTAAAAAGAGTACAGAGTTAAACAAAAAAAGTAAAAGGGAGGCAGGCAGAGAGAATAGGACAAGTTAAACAAGTTACAAAATACGATGCTTAGAGTTGCGTTGCACATTTTTTTCAAATTTTCATCGTTTGCCAAGCAGACAAGAACAACAACAACAACAGCAAGAACCACAGCAGGAACAACACCAACAACCAACGACAACAACCAGCTAAAAGTGTGCACTACAACAACATCAGTCAGCAAAAAACAACACCATCAACACGCACACCCACTCACACTTAACCCCATTTTAAACCAACAACACCAACAACAAGATCAGAAGCGAGACAGAAAAAAAGAGAGAGAGAGAAGGGTAAAAGGAAATGAATGAGGAAAGGAAAAGTAAAAGTAAAAGAAAGGAAAGAAAAAGGAAGAGAAGAACTTTAATTGATTATGAACATAACATATATATATCTTTAATTACTTATACATATTTACTCTTAACTACTCTGCACGCTCACTTAAACGAGCGTGCACCGTGTGTAAAACAAGATGAAAGTAAACTATTTTAATGATGATTATATGATTGCGATTTTACAATTTATTATTACAAAAACGAAAAGATGGAAAAAACCAACAAAAACAAAATGAGAAACATACATATTATATGCTAATACATTTACCATACACATATATTATAAAATATGAAGTAATTTTTTCTATTAAAATACCATACACTAATTTTTAATTTGTTTATTTACAACAAATCAACTTACAATACATACGTTTAATTACAATATACAATACAAATACTTTACTTTATTTTTCGGTGATTTATTGCTTAGTGTTCTTCGTATAATTTGTACTCTACTACAACAAAACAAATCCTACAGATATAAATTCCTAATTTAATTTCGTTTAAATTACAAATACATATGCTTACATTTTATATAACTAATTATACAATTTTAAAAAAACCAACACAAAACAAAAGCAAAAAAATGCTAAAACAATGAGCAAGTAAACGAGTAAAGTAAACGTGTGAAAAACGTTTCGATTTTTGAAAAAAAAAAAACCAAAATCTTTGAAAATTTATTGAATTTGAATCTTTTTCTTTTAACTGTATCGTTTTGTACCGGTGTGCGTGCCTGAGTGTGATTGTATGTGTCCATTTTTTTTATTTTTGTTAGTGTTGTCGTCGCAGAGGTCACATCAAGGTCAGCGAGTGGGCGGCGAGATGAAGGCGTGGCGCGGGGAAGAATTAGCTGATCAACGGATCGATCAGCTGTTGTGGAGTTTGAAGTACATATACACGGAGAGAAATGCTTTTGACTTTGAATTTTGAGTTTCGGTCAGCATTTCCAGTAAAGTCGGCTGCAGCAATCAAAACAACACCATCCAGGATTTGCTGTGGGTGCAAAATATATAAAAAAGAAAACAACAGCCATTTGACATAATGTTTAAACAAATGGCCAGCAAATCAACCTGATGTAATTTAATAAGATAAACACTTTTATTTTCTGGTGGTTTATTTACCTGGGTATGATTTCTGTTTTTATGATGAAACATATTTGCAAAGAATTAATTAATTGCATAGAATTAACATGTTTGAAGTGGAAGTTAAAGTAAAATGAATAAACTAATTCAAGCGATTAGAAATTTATTAGAAGACAAAACACATACACTGACTGTTAATTGTAAAACAATTTCATTTACTAACCCTTTATTTTAAAGTTGAATACAACATGAATTGTTTTTTTTATTAACCTAAACGTAAAAACCTATTCAAAATGAACTACATACAATATATGTGCATCGTAAACGTAATAAACAAACAAAAATATATATGAATAAACCTACTATATACAACTATATATACTATATACATATTAATTATAACATATAACGATTTAAAGGTAAAATAAATTTAAATATTGTATTAAACAAAGTGTTGCACTTTCAAGCTAAAGCAGAGACGAAAATAAGAGAATTTAAAATTAAGTGTAAATGTTTGGCAGCACACACAACACACACACCACACGTGACTACACTTTAGAAAAAAACGTTGCAGCAAAAGTCCAATTGCAACAGAGGTGAACGAACTCGACATGTCCAGACATCCGGCGAAATCACATTGGAGCACCAGAGAAGCAGAAAAATAACCAAAATCAGATTATTTCCTTATGTTTTTCGTTCCCATTTGATGTCATTTTGTGTATATGGCTTTTGTTCCTTCATTATTGTTGGGGTTTCTTATTGGCCAATTAATGACGGAATGACAAAATCGCGATTGATTGATTGTTATCGAGAATTGTGTATCGGTATGATTTGTTTTCGAAAGCTTATCGATCGTTTCCGTTGCCTTTTTATTGTTGCATTTGTTTTTATCAGATTGGTTTCGGCTTTTCGACGTTTCGAGTGAGGAGACATCATAGGAACCACGAATGAATCAATAATGTAAGGGGTTTATTATTTAACATACTGATAAGCTAACATACGAATGATGCGCCAAAATGCAAACCAAAATCACTGACAAAGAGAATGCGTTTTTGTATACATTGTATAGCTCTACATACGTATATGCATAAAATATATAGCTCTAGGAGAAGAGAGAAATGAACTAGATACTTATCAATACTTTCGATCTATAATTCTTACGATTAAGTTTTCTCGAACTTGTTTACGAATCGGAAATGTCGACTGGTACCCATAGCTAAGATAAGAGAACATCTATTGAACAAACACACCAAAACTCGGTACACTCAGATCCTTTTCTAACTACGCTAAACGGCTAGAATTTTAAATGTGTTTTGTCCCATATACCCCCGAGACCTCCCTGGCTTTTCCAATCCCTCGAAATGAGAGTTGTTTTTATGTAATGAAGTACTCTTAGCGATTAAAGACTAGAATGATTTGAAATAAGATGAGATTTAACAGATATCTAAGCTAAATTCCTAAGACAAAACGATTCCACCTAAGACACCTTTTTGTAACGACTAAATTTATATAGGACAAGACAAGGATTTAAAAGAACAACCAAATAAATAAAAGATAATGAAATCAATAAGATTAAAGATCAACAGGCATGTATACATATGTATGTGGGTGGCATGTTTTGTATCTGTATTTCAATTTGATTATTTTTTATGGTTTCCGTTCTTATAAACATACATAAATATTAGTAACAGTTTCCCGATCATTGTGTAGGATGAAATACGTACTCGGTTAAGAGAAGTCGAAGTTAAATGATGATAATTGTTAATGCCTGCAAGTTAAGAGACAAATTATGTATTACTTAGTTAAACGACAGCACACTGATCCCCTTTAAAGCCCGACTTTCGTTCGTTCTTAAGCAAAAATTCGAAACGAGGTATGTATGTATATGGTAATTTTAAAATGTAACAAACGCAGAGAATAGTGAACAAAAACTAATTTGTATGTAGTTAATAATGATAATAATAAAATACAAAATAGACAAAAATACGGAAAAACACAGAAAAAAAGAGGAAAACTAAGCAAAATAACCAAAATAAAGCAAAACGCAAAAAAACAAAATTGAGACTGTAAACGAAAGGCAACATAATGGAGCAGTTTAAGGCGAGACGATGTTGAACAGAAAAAAGGCTAAAACACGAAACTATACAACTCGTAACTCGAATAAATCACTGATGAATAGGCTACCAACATAAGTTCGTATAAGGTTTTTGTTCACACGAAAAATTGTACTCAAATTGCATTTTATTTTCGGTTTTGTCTTAGCCAATTCTGTACATTATGGATAGTAGATTTCTTTTTCCCCAGTTTTGTTTTTAATAAAACTCAAGTAAACTACTTAATATAAAATACCGAGTCAACAAATTAGACCGCAGGCTGCATGGTACATAAGAAAAAAAACGAAACCGAATCTAGATGATGAAGATTTAAGCGTTTGTTAGCCAAAAAGATAACTTTCGATGAATTTGAATTTTTTACCAACAGAAACTAAGGAAACTGGAATCTTAAACTGATAATGAAACAGTTAGTTGTACGCACGTGCGACTGACCCAGAGACACATAGAAACCTCCTAAAAAAAAACTGCATATACATATATAGGACTTACTTGTAAACCAGATTGTAACGATTTTAGGCATATAAGTGTTGCGACTTGGGTCTGTAAACGGGGAAACGGAAACGGAAACTTGAAGGGAAACTGGAGAGGAAGCTACGTTCTGTCACTTTCCAAGCTTTCATTTTGAAATAATTTCATAGACTTTTCTAAACGTACTTTTAGATCGAGATGGTGAGGGAGTAAATAGGAGTTTAACATTAGCATTTGATGGCAGCTGGGGGCGAATGTGGTACAGTGCTTAAGAATTAAAACATTGACGTCAGGATTTAACTTAACTTAACTTACATACATAGATACAAGGACATCAACAAAGGAAAATATTGAGAGTAACAAGGAGAACTTGAAAATGAAATACATATAGCGTTGCAAGATTTTAGTTTACGGTAAACTTAAAGAAATTTTTTACAATGTATTTATACAGACCTAAATTTAAATTTTAAATTAATTCTTTAATGTAATACGAACACAGTGCCTAAGTAATATCAAAACAAAAATCGAAAAAATAAAAAGGAAATAAGGATTTAAACATACAAAACGAGAATAAGAGCCGCAAGTAAGGACATTGTTACTAATAATGCTAAAAACCTAATCGAACAACTTTTAAAACAACCGAAAAGCATTCGAGCGACAAAAATTCAAGCCAATAAACGAACATTTGCATACAAAAATTTATAGTTATACATGTGTGCAAAAGAAAAGAAACAGGAAACACATACATACATACACACTAACTATGAGAAGAAGAACAAGAGCAGGAAACGGAAGCTGAAAACTGATCAGAAGTTAATCTCCCAAAAAAGAAATTCGCATAAATGTATAAATGTAACACAAACGAACATGAAACGCAAGAGCGCTAAGTAATAATTACTACACAAATAAATAATGCAACGTACCCCCTACATACGTCTCGTATCTCGCACTGGATTTACGTACAACCCACATATATCCTCCCATTTCCCCCCCTATAACCTTAAAGGGCTATTCAATCAATAGATTTCGTTTATTTGAACATGCCACGTACTCAAAATGACATCAAATTGAAACTTGTAACAACTCTTTGTTTGCATATTGGATTGGTCTGTTAGAAAAACCCTAAACAAATGTTTGAAACCAAATTGTTTTACGTTAAATTCATTTGAGAAAACAAATACAAAAGGATTAAGCAACAATAAGTAAATTACAACAAATTAATTATACATTTTGAAATTATATTTAACGAACAAAATTAATGTAGTGTGTAAAAAAAAAAAACAAAGAAAACATGAAAGTAAAAGCAAGTTTTAAGCAAAACAAAATACTTTGAATATATACATAAATTGCAAGTAAATAGAATAAATGTCACTCACTCTTTTTATTTAAGTCTTGTACTGATCGAACATTCCTGGGATTTAAACGTCGATTCGGAATCGGAATGGCAGCTAAATTTGAATTTCAGTACGGAAATAAATAGTTTATTTCTGGGAAAAGAAATATTTCAATGTTGGAAGTCGTGATTCTTTTCCTTCTGAGTTCCGTGACATTTTTCTTTGCCCATTTGGAGAGACCAACCACTTTTTGGGGAAATTTCTATACAACATGTCCAGTTCTAATGGGTCTACTATCCGCTGGATTGGTTTACATAAACGTTGGTTTTTCTGCTTGCAATAAGTATACAAAAATATTTACATTTCATTCTTTATAGAAATAGATAAAGGCTGCTCCTCTTGAGTAATAAGAAACCACACGTTCCGCTGAATTATTTGAAAAAGATGACTTTATTTCGGCTGAGTGTTCAAATAAAAATGTAGTAAACTATTTAAAAACAACAAATAATTATGATGGCTCGGCATGATTCAAAATTGCAATTCAGGCGCCAATGAGAGCGAGGGTTATTCGAACGTCTAGAGCTACGATTAGAATGAGTCCTATGAGATTGAAACCTATTAACCGATTGGTGACTACTTGGCTACGCGTCGTCTTGTGGTTGGTGTGGTGGGTGCTCCGCCGCTTGGCGGTTTGGGGATCTGAAATGGATCAAAAATGTATCAAAATCACATAGGGTTCCAGTTAAAGATGGTTATTCTTACAGAACGAATGGGTCGGGGTGTTAGGGAATTGGCAGGCGGTGGCTCGCGAGGCTGTGGTCCATCGGGATGACCCACTACGGTTACGGCCACGGGTCTGTGGTCAGTTCCAGCCCGTTCCATGCTCTCGCTGCGGGAGTTGGAGCCGGATCGTTTGAACATCCCAGACAGCCGACCGCGAAGATCCTTCTTGCTCGACCTCAAGTCGCTGGCCACGCTGATATCCGAGTCTGATCCTTGAATCTATTAAAATGTAATTACAATTTAACATCTAGTGTTTTCTTTGGTTTGGCAAAGTCTCACTGATATTTCACTCTCGGAATTGCGACTGCTTTTGGTCAGGCTGCGCAGCTTGCCCATGATGCCCTTCTTCTTCTTGCGAGGTCCGCGGGGTATGTCGCTCTGGGTGGACCCACCAGATAGCCGTGAGTCCAGGCGAGAGTCCAAGCTGGAGTCCCTGACAAGGCCACCCAGTTCGGAGTCTATGGATTGCATTGAGGACACACTGCCATCGTCCTGGCGCCAAATGTTCTAGAAGGAAAACCAAGGTTGATATAAAAAACTTTATTAGGTAATGTATAGCCCAACTCTAGTTGAAAACGCCTTAAAGTTTGCAATATGCTTCTTTTTAGACTGCATAGTATTTTGGACCGTATAAATCAATGAAGTGTTCTTGAAAAAATAGATTTACTTTAGTATCTTAAAACATTTTTTTAGGAATCTATACGGGTTAATCACCATTCAAGTATAATTTATAAAAAGAATGTATAGCCCAATTATAAAGTTCTTAAACGCCTAAAAATATGCAATATGATTCATTTTAAACTGCTTAGTTTTTTGGAACATATATTTCACTGGAGTGTTCCTAAAAACTATATTTACTTCTGTCTCTTATTATAACACGAAGTAACCTTTAAAGTATAATTTTAAAAAGAATTTTCAGGGGGACCTCCAAAAATAATTTAAATTAATCGTGGTATAAAATGCCAATCCTCAAACATAAAATATTGATTTCCCATATGACATCTCTTTGCCAAGCTCACCTGATCCCTTTGTATGGAGTGATCCAGCGATAGGCTCTTCCGAATCAGACTTCCATTGTTTGACGAATTCCGGGATATTCGACCTCCGCCCCGCTGAGAACCCGCCGCACTTGCCACCGAACTGGTGCTGCCGTGCGGATCGTTCTCCTGCGATGCAGCCCGGCGCAGATTGCTCCTCCTCATCCGGCTGCGCTCCTGCTCATCCTCGTTCACCCGCTGGAACTTGCGCAGCTCCTCCGAGGCTTCCGCCAGTCTGGCCAGGACACTGGTGATCTGGGAACTGCTCAGCGTGGGCGATGGCGAGCGACTGCGACGCACATTCGATTGCTCCGGTCGCAAGTTCTTGTCATATCCGGAGCTGCTGCTGGATCGGGCCGATCCCCCGCTGCCAACCATTTTCAGATCGGGGGCAATCTTCACCAGCTCGTCAACGGTCTGCAGAAGGGCACCCACTTTTCGATCTCCGCCATCCGCATCCATGCGTCGTTTTATCAGCTCTTTTTCATAGCGTTCACGCTGGAGTTTAAAGAAATGTTAAATATAAAAAGATTACATTTCAATGTTAACGTAAATTACTTATAAATTAATGTATTCTCGAACATATATTTATATTTTTGAGATGATTTTTAATAAAATATTTTTAAACGGAATACTTTACTTTAATACTTTAATATTCGTTCAAAAGTATTGAAAAGATAAAAAAAGGGGGTCTATAAACTGCGTAAATACATATATCCCATATTGTGTTTTCTAGTAAAAGTTTTATATTCAAAGAAAACATACACATTTTAGCATGTTTAAAGTTGAAAGTCGACTTTAGTCTGTTCCTTGTTTTGATTTCGTTAGATATCATGTAGGCATTTCAATAACAATTATAACATGCCCCAGTGGCCTAATGGACAAGGCATCGGCCTCCTAAGCCGGGGATTGTGGGTTCGAGTCCCATCTGGGGTAAAGTGGTGTATATTTTTTTATGTCAGAATTGTTTTTTGTTATTATTTATTTACGAGTAAATATGTATGTATTTTGTGTTAGTCAAGAAGTAGTTCCATTTAACTCTGAAGTCCTGTGGTACAGGTCAGGATTTTAAATGAATAATCAATTTTAAAGTTCTTATATATCGATATAATCCTCCCTTCCACTCACCTCGCGTCTTAACTTCTCGTTGGAGGTACGCAGCTTGGCATGAACATCTCGGAGCTCCAGAAGATCGCACTGCAGCTCGGCAATCTTCTTGCGGCCCTCCTCCATTTCTTCTTCGGTAGCCCGCTTGATCTGGTCCAGCTTCCTCTTGGACTCCAGTCGCTCCTTGTCGCGCTCCCGTTCCACCTCGAAGAGCGTCTGGCGCAGATCTCGGGCCAGAGTGGATGTTTCTTGCAGCAGTCGCTGCTGATCCTCACGCTCCTTCTGCCATGACAGCTCCAGCTTGGTCTTCATGCCCGGCAATTTGGTGCTACCCGATCCGATGACACGTTCCTCTTCGAACTCGTTGAGCTTTGATTGCATTTCCGATATCTTGATCTCGTTGGCACTGCGCTCGGAGACGAGTTCTGTTTTTATCTTGCTGGATTCCAGGCGTGACTCGACCAACTGATCCTCTAGATTGCCAATCTGAAATTTAAAAAATTAGAATTTTGTTTAGTATCCTTTTAAAAGTTAAGTCATTCCATGTGGCTAAATAAAGCTATGAAAACGAATCTGAAGAATCCGCGGCTAGGGAGTCCGGCACTTTACGCACTTAATGACATGTTTTTAAATTCCTGAAGAATTCGCGGCTTACCTGCTGTTCCAGGTAGGCAATCTTGCTCTTGTCATCATCATCGCTGCTGTGCATGGAGCCGCGACTCTGTCTTCCTGTATTGTTGGCCTTAAGGTCGCCAATCTTCTTTTGGGCCACTTCCAGCATCTGCTTAAAGGCATCGCGGTCCTTTTTGAACCGTTCACATTGGCGCTGTTATAAAGGAATATATTTAAGATATCTTAAAGAAATGAATATTCTTTCAGAATATCCTTTTTTCTTACCTGCATTGAGTTCAGTTCTCCGCTAAGGTTCTTCACTTGTTGCTCATAGCGAAGTCTAACGGTGGCCACTTCGGATTTCATCTGCAGTTCAGTGCTCTGTAATCTGTATGGCGAAAGAAATAAATGTTTATAGAGATTATAAATAAAATAAAATCAGTTTATTTATTAAAACTGAACTAAAAAGTGGTATGGAATAAATAAATGGTGCTCAAACTACCAGCTTAATATAATTCTTAGACTATTTCACGAAGACTAGTAATGAAGAAAATAAATTAATAATAAATAATATATAATACATAATATAATATAATATAGTATATTTATACATAAAGATAATAATAAAAAAATTAAAAAATAATTATCTGCACTATTAAACCAATTATGATATATTGATATTCTCTTAAAATTTTCATAATAAAAGCTTTTTGGATTGGTTGAGGACTGAGGTGAATGTTAAAAAATAAAGCCACCTTATGTATTTGTTTAGATGCATTTTTGATAATTTGTCGTGTTTATTGAGATATGTAATTGATGATAAGATGATACTCACTGTTCCTTGAGCTCCCTGATCTCTGCCTCGCGCCTGGCTCCGTGTCCGTTTAGCGAGGACTGGGCCTGCTCGATCCGGTTGTAGTCGCTGAGCTTGCCGTTGAGATCGTCGTTATCCTTGCGCAGCTGGAAGACCAGGTCGATGTTCATCTCGTTCTCCCGACGCAGTCGTTCGTACTCGTGCTCCTTCTCGGCCAGCTTGTTCTTGAGAACGGTGCGCTCGTACTCGCCCCCATTGCCATTTACCGCCTTGAGGGCCTTGGCCTGCAGATCGGCGATCTTTTTCTGAGCCTCACTCAATTTCCTGGCCATGTCGGTGCGCTCGATGCGGATGGTGTCCATTTCGGAGATCTTTTGCTTTTGGGCATTTAGTTCGGTTTGGAGAGTCTGTTTCTCGGTGGTGAGCTGGGCCCGCATAAGTATGGTTTCCTCGGAGAGCTTCTCCCAGTGGTTGTTGAGGTCCTCGTAGCGCTTCTGCTCGGAGCTCAACGAGGCCTGAACCTCCTCCACCTGCTTCTTGAGGTCCTGCACCTGCTTGCTGTCCGATTTACTGGCCTTAGCCTTCAGGTCCTTGATCTCCTTTTCCAAACTGGCCTTGCTCTTCTCGGCTGACTTCTTGGCACTCAGTAGATCGGCATCCAGCTGGGTGATCTTGGCCTCCAGTTTCTCCTTTTCCTTGGACTGCTTCTCAATGTCCTTCTCCAGGCTGGAGAGCTTCTCCTTCTCCTTCTTGCTTTGCGCTTCCCAGCTGGTTTTGCTCGTCTCACCCAGCTTCAGTTGAGCCTCTTGCTTCTTGACCTTCTCCTCCAAGTCCTTCAGTTTGGAGTTTAGCTTCTTAGTGTCCTCATCACTGCGCTTAAGCTTCTGTTCGAGATCGCTGACCTTGCTGCTTGATCCATTCAGGAGCTTCAATCGCTGGACATCACCTTCGGCCAGGGAGAGTTTCTGCTTGCATTTCCTCAGGTCCTCCTCGAGGGTTCCCTTGGCCACTTGCAGGGCCTTGAGCTGATCGGTATCACAGGAACTGAGCATGACCCGCATTTCGCTGATCTCGTCCTCGAGCTCCTCCACCCACTTCTTGAGGTGA